CTCCCCCTTCCCCGCCCGCGCGGCGTCAGATGACCGCTGGCTCCGCCCCACGTCTAGTTGCCTGTTCCGCGCTCCGGCTCGCACAGAGATGGCTGCCGTTCTGCAGCGCATCGAGCGGCTGTCCAGTCGGGTGGTGCGCGTCCTGGGCTGTAACCCGGGTCCCATGACTCTGCAGGGCACCAACACCTACCTGGTAGGGACCGGCTCCAGGTAAACACCCCCCACCCCCCAACACACACACACACACACACACACACACACACACTTGGCTCGCCGGAGGCACGGAGCTAGGGTTGCGAGGACTGCTCGCGGCGGGCGGGAGCGCGGCGTCCTGCCCCTGCGGGGTAGCCCCGCTCAGAGCGATTCGCGCAGACCCGGATTCCGGGCCTCCCCTCAAACAACCACCCCGGTTGGCGGCAACCTCTCTTAACTTACAGACGGCCGGGGAGGACACGGTTTTCTAAAAACTTCCTGTTTCTGAAAGGCAGTTTATTTTGCTTGGTGTTGAATGCCAGGGTGAGCGTGTTGAAGCGGTTGAGAAATTAGGATCGCCTGGAGTTGTTAAGAATCCAGGAAAACGTTTCCTTTGCTCACCTTCTGACTTTCAATCGTGTTTTGCCCAGAGCGAGACTTCCCTTCCCAAAAGCGATTAATTGTGCTTACGCCTTTTTCTTAACTCAGCAGCAGAGGGCAGGATTTTCTTGCTTCCAAACTGCTGGACTCTGAAACCCGAAAGAGCCCCCACCAGCCCCGCCCTTGGGAAAGAGGAGCTGACTACTTTTGGTTTTGTTGGCAATGCTGTGTGGCTTTGTTTAGGTTATTTTGCGAGTGGAGTAACCTGTCTGTATTTCTAAGATTTTTCTCTACTCCAGCTACATTCTGTTTTAGCGGAATTACGCAGAAATGAGCAGATGTGGTTTACTGCTCAATTAGTGCATTGGGCAACTTTCGTGTACTTAGTATACCCTAGGTAATGCAAAATAGAAATAAGATACAGTTCCTCTTGAGCATAGCAATTAACTGTGCCGTCAAGACGTGTTACAATTAATAAAATATAGTTGATTGCTAAAAACAGTGTAATAAGTCTAGTTTATTGAGTTTTGATGTGTAGTATCTCCTGTGTTTGCCTTTTTCCAGTAAATCAGGATTTTAGAAGTTTATCAGGACGGAGGAACTGGAAGTATCGAAAGTCAGGCTGCCAAAAGGTTAAGTAGACAAGGCAGAGTCAGATAGGCACAATAGCTTAAGGCTGCCTCCTGAATCCAGGAGGATAGAGGATTAGAAACAAATACCTCCCTGATAGCTATCTAGAGTACAGTCTGTCTTGGCCGGGACTCCCTCACCCCAGGAAGTCCAAAGGCATTCTCTTCTCTCTTCGGTGTGTCATCTTCAACTAGTTATAAAGTCAGTAAGATGAAAATTGCATATAGTCAAAATTACCATGAAAGTCTTTTGGGAGAACACTATGTTTAGAGATCAGTGCACTCACTGTCTTTCAGTAAGTTCAGCGCAGCCTGCTTTTCTCGCAGCCATGAAACAGATGGCTGGTTCCATTTGAAAACCAGATGAAGAAGTTGGCTTGTGTTTGGGGACCGTGTTGTATGAAAAATACATACTGTATCTATAAACATTAGAATCACACTCAGTGTAGCTAAGTGCTTGTGTTAAAAGAGACATAAAGAACATGAAACTGACTGAGGGAAGAGCAGATTCACGGCCTCCCATTTTCACACTGCTTACACTACTACTCAAATAAACTCATGGAGTGGAATGGCCAGTGGAGTCACTCATACATGAGAGAGAGTAATACGTAATACGTATATGATGAGTCCCTATAGTTGAGCTAGAATAAGTCAGTGTACAGATGATGTTTCTCTACTATAAAGTAGAAGTCAGGTGGCTAGAAATGAATATTAATTGGGTCCAAGTAAGAGGTTCTGGTATTGGTATCTACCTGTTCCTATTTCTCTGCACAAAACAGTTCTAAGATCACAGGTGGCTCCTCTAGCCCTAAACCCAATGGCATTTTTCCATTCCCATCTTCTTTGAGTTTCAGTATCTTTTGACACTGTTGACTACTCCTTGATTTACTAACACCACTTTCTCCCGGTTTCCTCTAACCTCTCTAGCTGCCCTTTCACAGTCTTCCATTATAGAATCATTCTCTTTACAAGATCTTTTAAGTGTTTGCGTTCCTTAAGATGCAGCCCTAGTCGTCAGTGCTCACGCTGTCGTCTCTACCTAGGTGATCTTGTCTGTTTCCTTGGCTTCACCTGTTATCTGTTAGTTAATAACTCCCAAATTTAGAGCTCCAATTCAGACAAAATCCAAACTTGATCCTCAGACCAGGGTAGCCAACTGCTTTCTTAATCTCTACTGGATGTCATAGCCACCTGAAATTCAGCGTTTCCCAAACTGAACTCCTGGACTTTCCCAGTAAACCTGGTCCTCTTCCAGTCGTCCATATCTTGGTAAACAGAAGCATCGCCACATTTGATCAAGGGAGATTTGTTAAGTACCCTCCTTGACATTTTTTTTGCCTCCTGTGTGCCTATTGAAGCCATTAGGATAATCTCTCCCTTTCCCCTGCTATCACCCAGTCCAAGTCAGCCTAAGCTTCTAAAAGCCTCTAATTGGCTCCTCTGCATCTTCTTTTGTCACTCTCCAATCCGTTCTCCCCCATATGGCCAGAGTAGTTTTGTGGGGGTTTTTTTAATGACAATTACAAGGCCTTATGCATATTCTGGCCTCCATCTATCTTATCAACCTAATCAAATCTCTCCCATCCCAGCGAGGTGAGTTGTATCCATTCTGCCTCAGAGCTTTCATGCATGCTTTCCTCTCTTGTCTCCCACTTATCCCTCTCCTCTTTACCCAGCTAACCTGACTCATCCTTTAGAGTTCAGTTAAATTGTCATTTCCTCAAGGAAGCTTTCCCTTGACCCCTTAGACTATGTTACCAGAAGCGATGTGTGACATGGAGCCTTTCCGTTGTGATCACAAAATACAGTGAATGCTGCTGCCGAGTGCCATCCAGTGGAAAGGCAGGGATCTTCAATACGGGAAGCGGTGCGTCGAACCTTAGTAACAGTGTGTGACAAGTGTCAACTTGTGTGACAAGTTTCAACGTGTTCGGTGAAATCAGTGGATGTGAACTA